GTCCAAGCCCCGCCCCCCGGTGCTGGCGCGCGCCGGCCTCCAGCGCGCTGCGCGCAGGTCGGTTTAAACCCGACCAGGGCCTGGGCGCGGGCCGCACCCCGAGCGGAGGCCGGGCGTGTGTTCTAACGGGGCCCGGCGACACCGTGGCGCGGGCGGTAGTGCGTTTTAGATCCCCGGGTCCTAACCTTTCCCGGATTCCCGCCCCGTGATCTACTTCAAAGCCAGAGCGCGAGGGAGAGCGAATGGACATTTATTGGGTCTCAACGACATGTGCTTTGCCATGTCGTCTTCTTTCAGTTATGGGAGCAACTCTGCGAGGGGCGGGCATTCCTACTGCTTTTTCACGCACGGGGAGATGGGGGTCCGCACGGACAAAAGCGTTTCCCGGCTGTGCCCGGGTCGTGAATGGCAGAACTGAGTGTGGGTGTCCCGCGTGGCCTGAGGCTGCAGCCCTCACCCAGGGTTCCTGGTCAGGGGATCGTTGATGGATTCATGCCCTTCAGGGGTTCTCCTTTGAGGTCATCACTCTCAGCTGCTTTTCACATGCTGGTTTCTGAGGGTGAATAAGCGCCGTCCTGACCCTGACCCTGTCCCTGACCCCTGACCCCTGACCCTGACCCTGACCTCAGTTTGGGAAGGGGTGGCCTCTGCTGCAGGTTTTGGTGCCCCGGGGACTGTGTTTCCTTGGAGCGCCCTTGGGAAACCAGACACTGCGGGGTACACAGTGTGGGGTAGACAGTGTGGGGTAGTGGGAGCCCCAGGAGGTTAAGAACCAGATGTACCTGGCTTTGAAATCCATCTCTGCCACTTATTTGCTGCATGACCCAGGGCAATGACTTAACCTCGCTGGGCCTCCGTTTCCTCATCTGTGAAGAGCTATAATGATACCCCTCAGTGGATCGTGGAGAGGAATCAAAGAGAAATAAGGGGTAAAAGTGACAGAGCACAGGTGACACTCAACGAATGTTAGCTGTCTTCCTTCCTCAGCCTCTCCTCTGTTGGAGGTGGGGTTTTGATTTGTTCGACATTGAAATGACAGACTGTGTTACTGTTCACAAACATTCTGCACCTCTCACTTCTGTTGTATCACGCTTTTGCGTCCTGGTGAGCACAGGACTGGCCCTGTGACATTGACCAATGTCAGCAGAGGTGCTGCATGGCAGTTCTGGACAGAAGCTCTAAGATCCTGGGCAGGTGACACCCACTCTTCTTCTGCCAGGAGGTCAGCCGTGTTCCAGACAGAGGCTGCTCCACGAGGCTGGGTTCACAGCTAACATGGGACGGGCATGTCATATGAGCAATAAATAAACCTTCCTTGTTTTAAACCAGAGTCACTTGTTACTGTAGCATAGCCTAGCTTGATCTGATCGATGCCTTTGACATTCAGCATCTTACAATTTTCATGCAATTTTTTCTAAACTTTTCTAAAAAGGTGTATTTACTGCATTTATGTTTTGGTACTGGGTACTTTGTAAAGAACTAGTTCTTTTTCTTGTGCAGTTTGCATACTGTGGAGAAAATACAGAAGAGCAAGTAGAAGAAAAGTCACCTAACATTTTCATTCTTGTCTGATGTCTTTTTCTAGTATTTCTTTTGATAATTTTCTTAAATGAGAATTTGGTAGAAATTTTTGAGGTTGAAAGCCTTGCTTATCATGAAAAGGAGATCAATAGAATCTTAGATGAACGCTAATAATATCAGACCTTTTCTATGGCACAACATGGAGTGAGGCTGGCATGGTTTCTTTGTCTCCCCTGTGAGCCAAGTAGAGCCACATTCCATGACATTTGGTGCCCAAATAGTCTCACCAGTAGGGTTTCAGAACAGAGCCAGTCTGCCAGGCACAAAACCCAGCCATGGGCTAGGTACTGGCGACAGATCAACAGGTATTCCTCGTCATGTGTGACACTATGGGCACAGGGATGCTTGAAGGTCACCCTGAACCAGCCCTTCCCTTGATAGGATTTTGCCAGTTTGTCTAGGAATTGCCAGCAATTGCCTTAAAGATTCTGGTCAATTCACCTAATGACCTCATATTTACAGCATTTCTTCTATGTGACAACTAAGGTGGTCTCAACCCTCCTTGGAGGATGTTTTATATTATTTTAAGGAGCTTTTGTCTGCTTCTACCATTTCAATAATTTAAGCCAGCAATTCTCAGACCTTTTGGTTTCACTACCTCTTTACACTCTTTAAAGTGAGGACTCCAAGAAGCTTTTATTTATGTGGATTATACCTATCAGCGTTTACCATATTAGAAATTAAACAGAAATTTAAAATATTAATTCAATCAAAAGTATTAACAACCAATGACATGCTAACATAACATTTTATGAAAAAGAACTATATTTTACAAAAATATAGTGAAAAAAGTGGTACTGTTTTAGATTTGTGGTAGGCAGAATAATGCCCCCAAAGATGCCCATATTCCCTGGAACCTATGAATATGTAACTTTAAATGGCAGAAGGGGCTTTGAATGGCTCCTTTACCCATGCATGATTTTGTAACATCATGTATTGATTATTTAGAAAAACATTGTTCAATGACTTATAAAGATCCTCCAAAGGTTGACACACTTCATTATACAATATAAAGAACACAACAGCATTTGTTAAAATCACCGCCAACCTCACCTGAAAAATCTTTAAATATTGGGAAGCTATTAACCTTACTAGGACACACTCAAATATTCTAGAACTCTCATTTCCACTTGAAAGCTCAAATTTTTGTCATTAGCAACAAAAACCATCGGTCGTCTCCCTTGAAAGGACAGGCTCACTTTGTTCATTTTCAAGAAAATATCTACCAGATAGGCACATCTGAATAACTCGAGGTTGTCCATCCAAGTTGCAAGCAAAAACAGCGTGCGATAGAAAAATCAGCCAGCACAGCGTGCACATTGGTGTGATCACATAAATGGTTTTCCTGGGGACAACCGAGGTACTTTAGATTGTAGCAAAAATGCTTGATACCTACAGCCCTTTTCATTCCCTCGACCATTAAACAGAGTGCGCAAGCAAGAGTAGAGATTAAATAAAACTGATCATTTTTACTGCTTTAGGAAGTCCATTCTCAATTGAAACTGGCATTTTAAAGAAGTCACTAATTCGTGGCAGTTCCCGGTACTGTTTGGTGCCTCTGACTTCGTTTGTACTCAGGCACCAGCAGTATTACCAACCGTTGTGTTCACTCCATCGGGACACATGTCAACAGAGTGAAATAGAGTAGTAACAAAGTCTTAGCATTCACATGAAGACCACCTGCCCACACACCTAGGGGCCTGCAGATGACACTTGGAGGGCCTCTGATTGGGGCTTTTTTGGCTCAGGGTTCCTCCACCATCATCCCTGAGCTCTAGGACATGTAAGGATGGGCTTAGCATGTTGGTGTTTGTTTCTTTAAATCATGTCAAGGGTGTGCATGTCACCTTGTCACGCCTCTGACAAGATCGATGAAGCTCACAACACATACTGTGTAGACAATTCGGCAAATGTGTGTTTTTTCTTGTAAGTAGCCTGGCTTCCTCTTTCTATTTAATTTGGCTCTGTGTGCCACCCTAGCCATGGTGGCTTATGAAGGAAAGTGGTCGCTATCAAATAGTCCCACGCAGTGAGGAATTACTCAGTTGAACGTGCAGGGGAAAGGTGTAATGCATGTTCAAGTATTTCAACAAGGAGGCCGCTGGACTGAGCTGGCTCTCAGGCCTCGGCCGGCTAGGCAAGCAAACCAAAACCTCCGCCAGAGTCAATGCTTTTGAAGCCGAGAAAATGAAACTGAAGAGCAGCCACTCAGAGACAGCCTACTTGGCTTTGCCAAATAAGGCAACTGCTTACACTGTGGCCATTCAAATAGTTGCTTTGCTTTGCTTCTGCAAGTTCTCTATAAAAGCCCTTTCCCTAGCCCTGGCCCGTGTGGCTCAGTGGATAGAGTTTCAGCCCATGGGGTGGGTTCCCTGTCAAGGGCAGGTACCTGGCCCCAGTCAGGGCATGTGTGGGAGGCAGCCAATCCATGTGTCTCTCTCACATCAATGCTTCTCTCTCTCTCTCCTTCCCTCCCTTCCACTCTCTCTAAAAATCAATAGAAAAAATATCCTT